GGGAACGCATAGGATCATCTATTAAATGTCCATATCATCCAAATGGCATTTTATTCGTAATGAGGACGATATCGCTCATCGTACCGTACCTCACGATACCGCTGTTGCTGGGGGTCTGCTTCCACTCTATCTAGCGCCTGATAATGAAATTCAGTCCTGGAGGATTCACCTTATATGAAGAATACCTTCTTTATCAAGTAGTATCCGCTTCCTGCTATACCACCGTAAATGGTACCGAGGAAAGATACCACAACAGCAGCTGCCGCACAGAGAACCAGAAGAAAGTATGCAACGCCTATAGAGAGCCACTTTTAATGCGACTATCTAAAGGCTACTATACCTTCAATAAGACCAGGACCATAGGAAGCGATAGCCACTGGTACAGTAGTGACAAATGCGCCTATAGCTGCTATAAGGCCAACTGTTAAATTCATGATGTACCTTGTATACAACATGCTCATACCATGGTACTGGTTCAGGCCCTACTGTAACACTGTCTGTAATATCATAGATACCAGAGTCTCATCTCTAGAATCGCCACCTGCTACTATGAATAATGCATCCCAGAGAGTCCAATGAGACGCCGTGTCCTTGCCAGCATTCCAGGACTAATGATGGCAGAGATGATTAAGTATAAGCATAGGGTATACATACATTCCAGAAGTCCTTCCTCATATCCTGTGCAGCATAGCTTGACCATAAACCCACCGTCTTTTTAGCGTCAAGCTGATTAATCAGTTCTTATCATAACAAGTATAGGTTTACTACCTGTAAATCGTATATCTTGGATTCAACTACTGCCTTCTGGTCCCTCAAATCTTGAACCTTTTGGTAATTAGCCTGGCACTCGTCATTACATGAGAACCACCCTAAAGCAGTGGTAATAGTACTACTGCACTTGCTACCATTACTGTCATTGATGCTACTACCTTTACTATTGTAGTAATCTCTTTCAGCTCTATCCAACTTTTGCATAACTGATCTATACTGACGGCCCTGCACTACATCGATATGTTCCAAGGTTTGATCATACCGTGCGGCTGTGATTGGGTCCACGTGGAAACCGGTACCTAGAAAGGATCGAGTTGGGGGGGGATCCATTGCATTGACGATACATACCAAAAAGCGCCACCAGTAACCCGATGATGTACATGGATGATATAACGTAGTGTTTCTGAGAGAGAATAATAATGGCTACATGCCAACACTTGCCTACTTTGACGAACTTCAATCCAGCATTAGCCGCCACTGTGACTATACTCATATCATCCATACCACCTGCCTTACAGAATGCTACATCATCGAACTGCTCATTCATGCGTAATCACCAGAATGATTCGATCCCGTCCGATGCTGTACCGCAGCATCGCGGTGTCCTGTTGAACTGGACATAATAGTGATGATGAGATACTGTCTTGTATGATAAGAGTGAGACCTCGATTCAACACCCGTAGCTCAGGAGGTAAGAAAATGATATTGGAACATCCTTAGAATGATATCATACTACATATGCACAGACAATGATACATAGTGGCAATGTTGACAGGAAGGCACGCTAGTATGGAGGATGTTATTCTAGACAGTGGAATATGAGCACCCCTGGGATGGGAATACAATTCCTCGCTAATTTACACCATTCACTTGGACTATCCTTAGAGCTGATGCTAGCGCAAATATAACTACTGTATCAAGGCCACTGTGTACCTGAGAATGAGCAGTAAGATACCATTATCCCTGGAACCCTTCCTACAGCAGTGGCTAGACAGAAGCCTGATATGGTAGCAGTGGGCCCCTGTTCGGACTGTATTATCCAAATAAGTAGTCTACCCACTAAAACTAATAGGACGAAGGCTAGTATAGCATAAGGGAATGAGTTAAGTAGTGCCCATACTACAAGTATATGATAGGAACCATATAGAGCTGAGCCAATCCAGTTAACACTTTCCGAAGAGGATCTTAATAACCCAACCAATGGTGTGGGGGATATAGATGCAACTATCGATGGGGCTGATCTCGCAATCTCCTCATCCATGAACACTTCTATGCCACTGCCAACCTCAATGTCTACTACGTCTTCCACTGGGTAGGCGGTAGTTGATGGTATCTCATCATCATCATTATCCTCCTCCTCGTGAATGGTAGGTACTGGTACAAATGCTGGTAACGAGCGCCCCATAAGTGGCCCGTTCCGACTGACATCGGATAACTCCTTGATAAGGAATATACGCCAGAAGAACTCCTCTATAATAGGGTTCACTATGATAAAGTAGAGAGCTAGTAATACATCTATGAAGAGATGGGCACCTCTGAGTGATCCCAGCCCAAAGATGTCCAATTGGGACTCATAGGACCCGATACAGAGTATCTGCCACCATCTACCTGAACATTGTAACATGAGGTATATAAGGCTACCACATAAAGTGGTAACAAAGAATGATATTATTGATAGCAACAACGTAGCATACCCATTCACTGACCTAGCCATCTCCGACTGGTAATAATGGTGATACCAATGTAGAGGGGTCAAGCAGAGAGAGTGGATAGAATTAGTGCAGTCACTCTTGCTCAGAATAAAGGCCAAAGGGAAGAGGATCATCCCAGCATGCATAAAGAACATGGCAAGTAACATGCTCCGGAATAGAAGTCCAAAAACAAGTACCGTGAATGCGGGTATGAGAGCAATGACGATCAATTGTAAACCTGGTCTACTGTTTAGGAGTTGACCAAGGCATAGGTGAGGGACCAATGACCGATGGGTAGACAGCTGTGGTGGTACTACTACTCCAGAGCTATCTGTAGAGGTAGGAGGAGGACCT